ATAATAATATTCATTCATTCATTAATTCAATTCATTAATTATATATATATTTAATTAATTAATAAATAAATAAATAAATAAAGCTCGTGGCTTGCATATTGACCTGGCTTCCACATGCTGAGGGGCTTGGTTATCCCACTCTGGAAGGGATTCGAGGGACTTCAGAAGCCACCGAGGCATTCTACCACGCAGAACAAAAGACATGGTGCTTACTCTAACCCTTTTGAGAAATATCAGAGACTAGCCCCAGAGGTAGCGGAGACCGGGGCTATCTGACTGCATATATAGTCCTTGCCTTGCTTAGGAGTTTGGTTATTCCTCTCTGGAAAGGAGAGAGTAACACTGCAACTGTAGGAATCGTCGACGTAATATACTGCTCAGCATATTAGGTATAGTGTTCACTCACATCCTCTTGAGAAATATCAAAGAAACCACAAGAGAGGTACCGGAGAACTGGTACTATCTGGATTCACTTCTGGCAAATGTAAAATGGTCCATAGTCAAGTGCTTTCAGTCACTTCAGAGCGCCGTGGTGAATTTAATCTGAAGTTGCTTGCATTCAACTCGGTACATCGGAAATCTCTCTATTAGTCCAATAATCTGACAAAGATTATTGGACTAATAGCGGGCCTATATACTGTAGACACTTTGACATATTTTTCAAGTGTTCTAGAATACCTAAATTTGTTTTAATGGATGGAACTCTTGAAATTCTGTTATCAAAAGCGGATCAATCTAAAGTTTTAATAAACAAGCCTTTTGTCTTTAATGAACAAAGCATTAGAAGTCAGTGCAATAATAGTCACAAAATATATTTCTCATGTTTAATTGACATTCAAGATCCAACAGGGAAAGTGACGGCCATAGCAGACAAGATCGAGTGCCAGGAAACTTTGTAGAAATTAAGTTTAGACCCTAAAATACATGTGCATATGCAATTAGATGGGGTGCCACGATGTACATGGGGATGTTTTGTAGGGTAAATCTGCCTTCAAATTCAAAGCCATCTAACTTTATGCAGAATGAACGAAAATCGACGAGACAAAAACGAGGTGATTCGAAACATCCCCAACTTCAACATGACGGCGGTTCCTGTGAGACTTGAGCATAGCTACCTTCCGCTAAACCGTATTTTCATACAGGTGTATTGCGACAGGTGTAAAAAATTATGACATCATCGCGACTACCGTGATCGACGCTCATTGAATACGAATTTTTCAAGTGTCCAGGTGTAAGAAAATTATATAATCGCGACTACGTGATCGACGCTCATTGAATAAGAATTTTTCAAGTACCCATGTACTGGTATACAACAAGTCTAGCTCCCTTTCTGTGAATTCAGGAGTAGGACAAGGGTGAGTGCTTATACCGACGTTTTTCAACACTGGCAGACCCGTCCTCTAAAGTCTGGCTAGACAATAATTGCTAATATTAAGGTCACTGACCTTTTCGATGATGTTGCAAACTTACATGTCTCTGTAGTGCGCAGTGGCGGCCCTCAAGGCATTAAGTAGTGAGCTGAAGACCTTGGATTTTGAAGTTAGACCCGGGATTTGAGGGTTAGGAAATCCTGGTCAGTTGGTACAGAAAGTTATAAATGTAACATTGCTGTACACCAGTGCTGAACAACACATGCTAATATCAAGGTAATTCTAATGATGATACTACTTCTACTACTAATAATAATAATGATGGTGATAACACTAATGTTAATTATGATGATGATAATAATGATAAGAGTAATAATAATAATGATATCAACAACAAAAACAATAGCACCGATAGTAATGATGACAATAATAACAATAATAGTAGAAATAATGATGGTTATAATGATGGTAAGATATTAATAATGATGATAATGATAATAATAATATTGACAACAACAATAATGACAATAATTATAATACAAGGGATAAATTATATTAACAGTAATAATGTAAATTTTAATGTCATTACTAGTACTAAAGCTAAAACTAATAATAATGATAATGATTATAACAAAAGTGATCGTAATAATCATTGTTGCAATCTAAATAATATCGATGATAGTAATAAATGTAAGTCATTTTCTTCTCTTGGTACATATTTCTTTATTGATAAACACAATAGTATCCCCTTGAAGTTGGAGTTCTTCCCCCGTTTTCTGTGTCCTGACATCCGGATAAAATGGCTGCAAACTAGTTAGTGGTTTATTTAATTGCATTCTCTAACCCTTGCCACCCGTCCTCTGTGGAGAAACGTGTGGGAGAATTAATATATCACATTCAGTGTTCCAGATAATAGATTTTACTTTGAGTTTGGTCCAATTTTAAGGCGTCGGGTATAAAACACAACTACATATATGTATGTGTTTGTGTGTGTGTGTGTGTGTGTGTGTGTGTGTGTGTGTGTGTGTGTGTGTGTGTGTGTGTGTGTGTGTATGTGTGTGTGTGTGTGTGTGTGTGTGTGTGTGTGTGCGCGTGTGTGTGTATGTGTGCGTGTGCGCTGTGTGTGTCTTCATTCTGCCATAATTTTTGCAAAGGAAGATATTTTTTATGAAAATTATAATGATAACGATAAGAATGACAATGGTGATTATAAAGATAAAAATAGTAATGACAATAAAAAAAATACTTTAGTAGTAACAATGAGAATAATCATAGTAATAATGTTAATGAATATGAATATAATAATGTTAAAATAGAATAATTATTATTATAATAATAATAACAATATTAATAATAATAATATTCATAATACTAATAATAATAGTTATGATGATGCTAATAATAACAAAACGGCAACAACAAAAACTAGAAACACTCAGAAAGCGCATACCTTCGCCAAGGTTATAACTTCAATGATGCAATTAAAATATTCACACAAAGAATTACATGAAAATCCCCTTTCTCAGGTACACAGGTTCCATTCATAACCTCAAGGCAATACGGTTAATGCAATCAATCAAAGAAAATTCTGGATCCAGATAAACTTCAAAATTTAATGGAATCTGTTAGGTTAAAACACACCTTTAAGTTAGACTAAAATACACCTTGATAAAACTTTCTGATTTTTTTTTCATAACTTTTGAGTTGTCATGATAACAAACGAAAAAAAATAATATCCTGATCGTCACCAAAATTTAACGATATCTAAGTTAGGATAAGACACACCTCTGGTAAAGATTTCATATTCATAACTTTTGGAGTTATCCCTCTAAGCAACGAATATGCAAACTAAATAATCAATGCGACCAAGAACATAATCTCCTTGTTAAATGTAATAATCATATTGATTATCATAACAACAATATTGATACTGTCACACATACACATAATCTTTCTAACATATGCAAGTGTGCATATACGAATACATAGTTTTTATGAACATAGTATTCATAATGTCTGCTATTTTCCCCTTAGTCCTTCTCACTTGCCAATTTTACCAGTTATTTTCCTCGCAGTGTCATTGTAATCATTAATAGTATTACCATTTACTTTTTCATATGTAGGAATATTCCATTTATTAAATGTCCATGTTCTATGTGAAAATTGTCACAAATCAATCTCCTCTGGCACATATCAAATGCCCTCTCTATTAAATTCATATTTCTTGAATGAATTGCATCATATCTTAGTTCAGAGCCTCTAGTAAGGTTGCTTACAGCAGAAATGAGTTTTCAAGCAAACATTGCATGCACTGAGTTTGCTCTACTTCTGTGCAGCAATGTTTGCCAAAGAATTTGCTGTTATACAGTGGTCATGGACAAGCACCACTTAGTATAATTCTATACAATTCAATTTTATTTCTGTGGTTGTATTTATTAACAGATTAATATTCGCTGAGTGTATGGTCAGGCTACCCATGAATTTTACTGGAATCCAACGATTTTCTGTGAGCTGGAACCAACCACCCATCCGGGGTGTCTACACTGCGAAAAGAACCACCGGCTCTGTCCAGTGGAATCCCGGCATCAAAACAAATCGCGACCGTTGAAACTCGCTACAGATCCCGCAATCTTCTCCTAAACTCTTGCTACTCTTTCATGTTTCCGGAGTTCTGACCTTTATTGGCAGGGAGTAAATTGCTTCAGAATTCCTCATTTCGAATATTCACCGGATCTGCGGTTTTAACTTGAATTGGGAAGGCTAAATCAATAGCAACTTTTTGTGTCATGGCGTCTGGTTATGATGACGTCACAAAAGTTACGGATACTTTGTGAATATGGTCGATCATTTTGGGCTTGTCAATTTTCAAACAGAGTGGAAAATAATTATTTTGATGGTTATTTTTTATTGAACAATCATCAAAATAGCCCTGTGGATGGGAAGAGTGGGCGATTATGTTTATGCATAAATGATTTTCAAATGTAATTACTCGCAGTGGGACTCAAGTCAAAGGTCTGTATTTTTACTCAGCTTGAAGAAACTTTATTAATACTTCCATGTACTTAAGTGAATGAAAGGTATTTTATTTAATGTATAGGATACCAGGTCGGGCTATTTTTAGAATAGCACATGTTCATGTTTTCAATGTGTACAATATCCAACATTGTTAAAGTCTTAATGGCTTTTCAGGCGTTTTTGACTTCATAAAGTCTTACTGGCCTTGTATTTTTTCACTTGTGGCCATTAGGAGGGACAACCTTGATCCACACCATTAAAGCTTCCAGGAATTGATTAAAAAACAATGAATATAAAGGGAAAATATTTTATTTTCATGTGTATGCACATGTATACGAATTATTTAGACATGGAGTGTAAAGATATTGATATGTGCGTCGTACATACATGCATATGTATACACACGTGTATATATATATATATATATATATATATATATATATATATATATATATATATATATATATATATATATGTTTATGTATATATGTATATATATATATATGTATATATATATATATATATATTTATATATGTGTATATATATATATATATATATATATATATATATTATATATATATATACATAAACATATATATATACATATACCTGCATGTGTGTGTGTGTGTTCATGTATGCGCGTTTGTGTATTTGTAATTCATAAAGGCATGTGTATAAAATTACACGGAATTATCTGTATATCAATTTCTTCCCAGTGACTTATTTACCTACACATACACATGAATATACGCAGTCAAGATGAGTACGGATGTGTTTGTGTATAGATACATCATTATGTATATATGTATGTTCAACAATGCATTTGGAAGCACATGATTCAAATTCGTACAATTATTCCTTTCTCTTGATAATGAAATATGGGTGTTCGTTTCCTATCATATTTTTGCCTCTTACTTTTCTGAACATAATTTTGCTGCCTGTTGTTCTTCCTTTTCACTTGGTCCTCGCATCCATTTGCAGCAACTGCCGACCAAAGAAAGAAGGTGTTAAGTGCAATCAAGTTTAATCAAGAAGGTATATAATATATATGCATATATATATCATATATTAAATACATATATACATATATTAAGTGTAATATGTAATATATATATATATATATATATATATAATATATAACTAGTATATTATATAGATAGATAGATAATATATATATATATATATATATATATATATATATATATATATATATATATAGTAGTCGGTATACATATATAACATATATAGATGACTATATATATATATATATATATATTATATATATATAGTACTATATATATATAATATATATATATATATATATGTATATATAAACATAATATACACATACATAGTATATACAACACACATACCATATATATATACATATATAACATACATAATATGATATATATATACATTATCATATATATATATAATATATACCTATAATATACATATAGTATATATAATGTATATATATATATAAATATAGTAAGGGAATACACACACACACACACACACACACACACACCACACACACACACACACACACACACACGCACACACACACACACACACACACATACACACACACACACACACACACACACACACACAACACACACACACCATACACACACATTTATGTAGTATATATACATGCACGTACACACAGACACACCGTGTGGTGTTGTGTGTGTATGTAAAACGAGCACAAACAAAGTAACGTGTACACAAAAATCAAAAATGAAAATGAAAACAGCGTTAATGTGAACTGAAAATAAATGTAACGTTTCGAACTCTTCACGATTTCCTCTTCAGACAAATAATAAACCAAAACGAATAAAAAGAGAGAATTTTGACAGGTTTATATAGCGGTAGAGGGACAGAACGAACAAGACCCGAACAGGTCTCAGGAGAGGGTCAAGGTCGAAGAGTCTGGGGAAGGGCTTATGAGTTAGGATCATCCAACCCCCATTGGCCAACACAAGTTAAAATTGAGTAATTTTCTATTTAGTACTTCAAACGCTTTTCTCTCTTACGAATTTGACGATTGAATTACGTCTTTCGAGTTCAACTTATGTCTTTCGTCTCGTAAGTCAATAAAAGGGAATTTGTGGCTGTTTTCAATTTCATACACACACACGCACACACATACAGATACACACACACACACACACAGATACACACACACACACACATACAGATACCACAACACACACATACAGATACACCGCGCGCGCGCGCGCGCGCATATATATATAACCACACACCACACACACACACATCCATACATATATATATATATATATATATATATAATACACATTTAATATATAATATATATAATATATATATATATAGTATATATATATATATAATATATGCACATATATATTATATACATATATACACACACACCTGTCGTGGCACCGATGTTCCTCCCTCCAGGTGCGCGATGGTGTCAGGCAGTGCCACGCCGAGAGTCTCCGGGAGGGCCAGCGTCGCCGTGCCAGCCAACAGGGATGCCACACCGAACACTATGGACGGTGACGCGGGGTAGGCGGATCCCTGGCAGCCATAAATAGTAAGATGATCAATAAGAACGATAACAAAAGACAACCTCTAGTAAATAAGAAAAGAGGGGAAGAGGAGGGAGAAGATGAAGATGATAATGATGAAGAAAGACGAAAAAGAAAACAAAGCAAAACAAGAGGATAAGAAGACAAAAACAGAAAAGAAAAAAGGATAATAAAGAGACAAAAAGAAAAATAAAGAAAAGATTATAAAGAAGACAAAAAGAAAAAGAAAGAAGAAATAAAAGAAAGTAAATAAAATTATACATATAAACGACGTAGAAAAACACCAATGCAACACCAACTCCGGCACTCCAACCTACCAAGAAATCAGTAATGAAGGGCGCGCCATGAGCCAACCCTGGAGAGCATGAAAACGTCCCACTCCTCGACTCCGCACCTCCGTCGGGAAGAGCTCGGAGGAGTAGAAGATGGCGACCTGATAGGCAGCTGTGATGGACATCTTGCCCACCAGAGCGAGGGTCACGATCACGGTGGAGTAGCCTGGAGGATTAAATGATTTAGGTCAATCTCA